GGAAATTAGAATTTTGTCATTAAGCAGAACTAGGACCATGAGAATTGTTCAAATTTAATATTATTTTCTGCGAAATTGGTAACGAATGTTTGTAAATATATAAAACGAGGATTGCAATTAAATATTTAGGGAAATTTCTAAACCAAAAGCATTAAATTTTGAATAAAAAATCCCAAACTCTGATGATTAAAAATTTTGATAATTTTTCGAGCCCTAAATTTTTAAATCTTGCAACTCGATAAGGATACTAAAATTCCTGATCTTAAATCTTAAATCTTGAAAATTTTGAAAATTCCAAATCCCAAATTCTCAACTTAAAAATCTTAAAAATCTTACAAATCCTAATCCAAAATTAAGAATTCTGAGAATTTTGAAGATCCCAATTCTAAATTTGTGATTTTGAAGATAATTTTTCTAATTTAAAATCTTAAAATCTCCCAACTCAAAAATACTAAAATTCCAGATCTTAAATTTTAAATCCTAAAAATTAAAAAAATTCCAAATCCCATATTTTATACTTAAAACTCTTACAAATCCTAATCCAAGAGTATGATTTTTGAAAATTTTAAGACCCCAGTTCTAAACTTGAGATTTGAAGACAATTTTTCAAATCCTAAATTTTTAAATCTTCCAATTCAATAAAGATACTAAAACTGCTGATCTTAAATTGAAAACCCTGAGCATTTTGAAACTTTCAAATCCGGAATTCTCAACTTAAAAATCTTATCCTAATCCAAAAGTAGGAATTTTGAGAATTTAAAAAATCCCAATTCTATCTTCGAGATTTTGAAAATAATTTTTCAAATCCTAAATTTTTAAATCTTCCAACTCAATAAAGATACTAATACCTCTAATCTTAAATTTTTAATTTTGAAAATTTCGAAGATTCCAAATATCAAATTCTTTCTTTAAAACTCTTACAAATCCTAATCGAAAATTATGATTTCCCAAAATTTTAAAGACCCCAATCCTAACATTGCGATTTCGAAAAATTCTGCGAATTCGCGTCGCATATCTACAACTATAAATAAAAAACCGTGAGAGCGAAAAATAACTAAAAGGTAAAATTTCAATTACGATCCGTTTGTATAGCAAAGATTACTCTACACAGTTTACCATCACATTAGCAGAGATAAAATGGATTTATTCGTTCGTAATAAACCGGGATTCCGGATTGTCTCGTTTCTTTTTTTCCTTTCTCCGGCAAGTGAAAAGGGAGGCGAATTTTTATGCTGCATTTAAATATGAAAGAGAGAGAGTACGGTGAAATAACGTCAATTAAGGGTCGACTAGGCGCTCCAGAGCGCGGCAGTTTAAGGGTTAAGAAAATAATGGCGCCAATTAAAAGTCACAGCGAAATAACCGTGAAAGCAGTGTGATATCAGAAATTTATGCAACGCCATGGACTGCAATTTCGAGATCTCGCTTAATTGAAACCTGGCTACTGTGTCATATATAAACGTTAAGGGTTAATCACGGCTGAAGAGGTAAAACATGGCTAATTTAGAGGATAAAGAAGTTCTAGTAAAAATTCACGATAATAAAAATTTACGTTATATTGTACCTCTAAAACCGTATCCATAGAAGCTTGCCCCTATTTATGTCTCACGAAAATCAACTAAAAAAACAGACTACACTGAAGAGCCTTTTTACAACGATAAATTTCCAACAAAACTTCAGAAAATTTATATATTACCATATATTATAAAGATAGTTCAATTAACATCAGAGTATCATAAACTAAATAATACAATACACTTCTCAATATCGAATCTCGTATAAAAATTTCGAAAATTTTAGTTCAGGTTGAAAAACACACCTTTAACAGTTCGAAAGGAAGTCAGAAGCAAAATAAAAATAATAACCAATGTACTAGAATCTAAAAGCATTAAAAACAGAAAAGGAACAGAGATTTAGAAAGTAAAAACATGAAAAAAGAAAAATTAAAAAGTTAAATAATGGTAATAAAATAAGAAACTAAAAATAAGAATAAAATAAGAAAAAGAGAGAAGCAAATAAAAATCAGTCAGAAGCAAAATAAAAATAATAACCCATTTACCAGAATCTAAAAGCATTAAAAACAAAAAAGGAACAGAGATTTAGAAAGTAAAAACAGGGAGGAAGAAAAATTAAAAGGTTAAATAATGGTAATAAAATAAGAAACTAAAAATAAGAATAAAATAAGAGAAAGAGAGAGAGGAAGGAAGAAATAGGAGGATTCTCATTCTCCAGCAAATGAGTCACAGCCAAATGGGTGGCTGATTTTCTGCGTGGCTCGGCACTCGGTTCCAGCATAACGTTTATTCCCGCTGATAAGGGTAGAGAAGCTTCGTTCCACCCCCAGCGCAATCACCATTCGCGCAGCGAGTAACGCAATTAGAGGGGTCAGCGCCGATAAACGTGCACGGTTGATCTTAGACGAGAGACATTGACCCTAGCGTGGCGACGATGTTGTCTCGCGTGAACGATCCCCGCTATTCGATCCCTTTCCATCCCCCATCAGAGTGTTGGAAAAGGGGAGAAAAAGAAAAAAGGAAAAAAGGAAAGAATAAGATTATGCACTTATAAAGACTCTTGCGTCTTCTCGCACTTAGCTACTCGCTTGTCATCGATCAATCGGATTTAAACTTTCTCCTATAGTCATCCTCTCAAGCACTTAGCATGATAGGATGCTTGCATGTCTTGTGAGAAGTTGAAGATAAGAGCGCAAAGTTAAACCTGTTAAGGCTTGTGGAAACAATGGTGTCAACTGGAGGTTAAGTCTAACAGGAGAATGATTTCCTACTCATTGTTGTAGCGTTAGAGGTTTCTTTGAGGATGGTGCAGTTTGAAACAGATGGATTTTATGAATTCTGTTACTTGGAGGTTAAGTCCATTTGGAGATGCACTATTACTGGCATTGTGTTAGAGGTTTCTTTATGACTGGCAGGGTTTTAAGCAGGAATATTATTGGTATAGAGGTCTAAATAGACTTTCAGAACGCTGGTAAATGAGAGGTTAAGTCCATTTGAAGATGGACTACTACTGTCTGTCATACTGTTAGAGGTTTCTTTATGACTGGTAGGGTTTTAAACAGACATGTGCTTGTATAGAGGTCTAAATAGACTTTAACAATGCTGTTAGATTGGAGGTTAAGTCCATTTGAAGATAGACTGCTAGATAGAGTTATAGGTTTCTTTAAGAGTAGTAAGATCTCAAATAAAGTTATTTCCAGAACAGAAGTCTAAGTAAATAGATTTCAAGTATTCTGTCAACTGGAAGTTAAATCAAATGGTCAGGACTAACAATTAGTACGCAAGGTTTCTTCAAGAGTGATAGGATTTGGAATAGTGGCCTGCATAACATACATAGATTTGAATATATAGGTTTCAAGAATTCTGTCAGTTGGAGGTAAAGTCCATTAAAGATTGATTTGATGTTAATTACAGGTTTCTTTAAGAGTAAAATTTTATAGGTTAGCAATATAAATTGCAATGTGTTTTAGAAGCCTGTATAAATAGATTTGAAGATGGTCTATCGTTGACTATTGGAATATTATATGCTTCTTTCCAGATGCTAGTATTTAAGATAAGTTTTAAATGTTAATTATAGGAATATAAATATGTTTAATACAGAAATTCAATGATGAATCTTGTTCTCATCAAGAAAATAAATGAGTTTCAGAATAGTATCAATTAGAGATCAAGACTACTTGACGGTGCTCCTGTGTTAATTATTAGAATATTAAGAATCTCTTTAAAATTAATAGTTTCTAAGATGATATTCCATTCTTAATAATGGGAATAACAATGTACATAATTCATAGATTCCATAACTTACTGTTCAAACTATCTTTACAACGTAGAGACCTTCACTAATATGTAACATATCTCTACTATAACTATGGTACCCCAACTTTTCTTTATCAAAGTGAAAAAAGGCAGGAGAACAACAAAATTTGTATGACATCCATCCACCCTTCATTTATCATGATAAAACCTGAAACACAACTTCCATTTAATTCCATAATTTGCATAACTCTTATCTGAAGGAATGTTTCTTATCTTACCAAGACATAATCGTTTCATCACCCAGAGTGTAATTTCACTGAAACCATGGCAGCTCTCTTAACCCAATAAACCCGAATGTCCACGAGATAAGGAAAACATCATCGAAGTCACCCAAACCGGTTACTTTGCCTGACAAGGTTTACCAGAGCGTATCGATTAATTTCTGTGAAGGGTCCGGGAAGTCGTACACGATGATGGGAAGCGGGGACAACAAAGGCATCATCCCACGGCTGTGCGACAACCTCTTCGACATGATCGCGAAACAGCAGAGCTCAGAGCTCACCTACAAGGTCGAGGTCTCGTACATGGAGATCTACAACGAGAAGGTGCACGATCTGCTGGATCCAAAGCCGAACAAGCAGTCGCTGAAAGTCAGGGAACACAATGTCCTGGGCCCATACGTGGATGGACTTAGTCAGCTCGCAGTCACATCCTTTCAGGTAAGGCTGGCCTATCTTGCTCAATTTTCTCAACTTTCTTCCTCTTCTTAGAATCTCCAATCACATCGACTAGCATCTGTAACAAAACTAGCCTGTATTTTGAATCTGCCAACTTACCAAACTCGTACAGTATCTACAAATGAACAGACATTTGCTACTTAGCCAACTCCTCGAATAAGCTTGAAGTTAGCAACAATAGAGCTCCATTTATCTAACCCCATCAGAGGACTAGTAGTACATGTAACTCGATTCGTATAACTATTCACTGATTCTCTTTATTATCTGGAATTTCTCATTCGAATAATAGGTCACATTTGGATGAGTGGATTCCATCAATAAGAGTTCAGTTAATCGAGTACTAACTAGAATCTCGTTTCGATAAATGGGGTTCCACTGAGCCACCTAGGTCTACCTCTGATGTAAGAGCAGTATCTGGGTCTATGCCAAAATTTCACTTTTGTGATTCAAATCCTCTGGACTCGTATAATGTGTGGCTGATTGATAATATTTGGTCGTGGCTGAGGGAACGGTAATGTGGGATTATTTTCTCGATTAGGTATCCGTGTGTAATCTTGGATTGGCTGGCCCCCTGGTTCTTGGTCAGAATATTATAACCTTTCCCTTTCCTGTTTATATTGGAGTACAGTATTGGTCGATAAAGATCTTGCATTTTAATATAAATTTGGGTTATTTTTGTTAATCGTGTAAAAATCGTTGACAGAATGTAATATGATTTATAGACTATCCCGTATTTTTGTACGTGTATAGAAAGTGGAATGTTTAAAATCTTAGGTTAGGTTAGAGATTTTCTGAGTTGTTTAAATATAGAAACATGAAAGTTTCAGCATATTAAAGCGATGAAAATAATTATTTATATATTGATGTTAAATATGTAGGGACGAGTGTATCATAGAGGGCGTTGTAGTTCGTGTTGCAAGGCAAAATTGGGGAAGAGGGCGCTAGTTGTTCATTGTCCGCCATACTTCTATGCATTTTTAATCAAATTATATCCAATTATGTTAGATGTACATATATATGTATTTAGTTATATAAAAATTATGGTCACTTATTTCTATCTGAACATAAAATTGATATAAATTTTATCAAAAGCTGTGTGTTTTCAATAACTGTGAAAGCAAGATGTCTGAAAGCAGTCATTTTGACCGATTCCATAATATCAGTGTTAAATCGATCGATACAAGGATCTTTGAGCTGTTGAGCCTGATATTAGATCCTAGCATTATTGGCTATTAAGTCATCGATTGTAAGCTATTGAATCCTATCATCATTCGATCATTGAACAAGTGGACCCTAAAATTATTGAGTCATTGAACGATTCCCTCATCGAATCATTGAATTACTCAGTTGTCGAGTCTCAAAATTAAATTATCGAGTTAATCATCCATCAAATTACTCAATAATTGAATCACTATATATAAATTAAAAATAAAATATAGAGGTATAGAATTAATTAATACAATTAAATATCGAATCATTTAATTATTTGATTCCCGAGTTTCCGAGATATTGAATTATTGAGTTAATAACTTAATGAATATTCAATTATTAAGTTATCCTATAGAAATTATCGTATAACGATATGAAATCATCCAATCTTTTTTATTGACTCTTTGTCATTATTCAATTATTGAGTCATTGAGTTATCAAATTATCGAGTTAATAACTTAACAAGTCAATTATTTCTACTATAATTAATAACTTATTATAATAATACACTATTACAATTTTATGCCTACTTTAATGACATAACAATAATGAATCAACTATGTTAAGTTAATAACATCAAATTACTCAATTATTATTAACATGTCAAAATTTCTGTCTTATGTAATATAGCATTATTCTAAAAATATTAAGTTTTGTTATACTTATTCACATAGATAATTTTTTATTGATTCTTTGTCATTATTCAATTATTGAGTCATTGAGTTATCAATTTATCGAGTTAATTACTTAACAAATCACTCAATTATTCCTACTGTTATAACTTACTGTAATAATACATTATTACAATTTTACATCTGCTTTAATGACATAACAGTAATGAATCAACTGTGTTAAGTTAATAACATATCAAATTACTCAATTATTATTGACATGTCAAAATTTCTGTTGTATGTAATATAGCACAATTATTCCTACTCTAATAACTTACTATAATAATACACTATTACAATTTTATATTTACTTTAATGACATAATAATAATGAATCAACTATGTTAAGTTAATAATATATCAAATTACTCAATTTTATTTTATTATTGACATGTCAAAATCTCTGTTGTATATAATATAGCATTATTCTGAAAATATTAAGTTTCGTTATACTTATTCACATAGATCATTTTTTAATATTTTTTTCTCCGTGTACAACATATATCAATCAATGACAGTTCGTTGGGTCCAAGATTCTCCTCGACCATCATTTATCAATGAATACAGAGTACCAACATACTTGTACGCTTTCCACGTAGGAAAGCGTATCGCATCGCCTTTATTTATCGCTTGTTTTGACTAGCAACTGGCACAGCTCCAAAGCGAAACTGTTATGATCAATATCTGTCATTGCAGTGCTTTGGCGATTTAATTCTTGCAATAATGTGCTATTCCCTACAATTAAACCGTACAAATTGGAACTCTATAGCATCTTCGTTTTTTCTCACTTTACACTGTCATTGTGTTTTCAATTTTCAGCTGTTCCAAAAATTTATTGGATCACTATAACTTTCTTTTTTTTTGTATACTGTAAACGAAATTGATTCTACTATTTTTATTATTTCATTATAAATGAAATTTTTCAAATTTGCAAATTTCGCAGTTTTTTTGATCACTATCTTTGCAAAATTTTATTAACTTCTTGCAATTTTATTTTCAAATTATTATCGATAAATTATTGTTAAATTTATCATTGAAAATGAAAAATTATTGTCAAAATTATTATAATATGTGACTTCAATAATTTGTGATTAATTTTATTTTTCAAATTATCTTGTGCAATTTCAATTGTTTTTACTGTTCTTATGATTATGTTAATTTTGAGATGTATCTAATATTAAACGCGTAACTTAACATGTAAAATCTTGACATAACTATGAATTAAAATAACGATAGCAATCTAATTAAGATGTATTTATAAGCCCCGCGATTAAAATTAACCCAAATGCTTACATGCCCCTATTCTACGGTCGAAAATTACAAGAGCACGATACTCGTGCTGCAGTTTATGTTAATTAGGCGCTGGATATTTCGCGTGTTCCTTTAATTATATTTTGTCCGTTGAGCGTTATTCGTTATTCATCGATTGAGTGCTCAAATAGATGGTACTAATTAAAACGGTCTCGTTAATAAAATTTTATATTAATTAAAAACTGTTTGAATTTCACCCAATTTATAGGCATTCTAATACATACAACATCGTGAACAAATTTTAAAACAGTATAATTTTTGAAGGATTCTCGCGAAAATAAATTTTCGTAATTTTCAAAATAAATCTCGGAACAAAATTTTAAAGAACGTTAATCACATTTTCACGTACACATAAGACAGTTAATTTTCGAAGAATAAATTATGGCAAAAATAATTTTCAATGAGAATCCAACGATATCACCTTACAAAAATTTTACGAACCATTATTCGATACTGTCGATTCAATCGTGTCATTATTTCACCCTTAAAAATCCTGTATATTTATAATGTACTTCAATTTAAACTGAAAAATCCATTTAAAAGCTTTACAAATGTATAATAATATAAATATAATAAAATAATATAAATGTACAATAATAATTTCTCTCTAAAAATAAATATTAATTAGCAAAAATTGAACGAATAATTAACCAATGAGATTACATTCTTCGTTATTTTACCAAAAAATTTTCTGCTAATAATACATCCTATACTGACACAGATTATGACAGAACACGATACGAGCCTGTCATTCTCGAAAATCGAATTTTTCCCACCGACGTCCATTAAAAAGATATTCATTTCCGAATAACGCGACAACTGCACGTCTGTCCCCCTTTATCATCCTGATCAAGTTGATTGAACTGTCACGATTACGATCGATCGAATGACTTTTACTGATCGCTCGACCGACGTACAAACATTAAACGAAGGCATATAACGATACACGATCCTTTCAGAAAGTAAAATCAGGTCGTTTTACATGTAGCGAAGGTAGTGGTTACCTCTTTTATGCAACAAACACGTTTCGTGCATACCAGTAACGCGTGATAAGTTTCAATTTGCTTCATCGACTGTGAACTAGGATACTGTCCTGTCACATTTTTCGGCTCGACTGTGCCTGTGATCATTCGCATAATTTTTTTCATATTTTATCTACTTTATTAACATTTTTGCTACATTATTAAAAGCGAAATTAGAAATGAATTTGTTATTTTGATTTTCAGGCTTCCATTTATCTCCTACATTTTTGGAAATTATTTTATTATATCGTTAATAAGGGATGCTATCAAAATGGCGACAAATATCGTTTCAATTTTTCACGTAACAGTATTTTATATTGATTCCTTTGTTTATATTATTTCTACATTTTGGGGGAAATTATTTGGTTATTTTATTAATAATGTTTGCAAAGTGGTAACAAATATCGTTTATTTTTTAAATTTCCTAACCTCTTCAAAAATATTGGCACATACGTGTCTGTCTATTTTTCTTCTTTTTTTTTTTAATTATGATTATTATAAATGAAAAGAAAATTAGAATCTGTTGGAGAACTATTCGCCATAGAACGTTATTGTAACGTTAATTTAAGAAAAATTCGTCCCTGGAGAGGTTATGTATCACTAGGGGAATAAAATAGAGGTTAACTGATTTTATCCATTATTGGGATTATGGGTTTTAATTGTAAAATAATTATGTATATATGTAAAAAGAAAATTAGAATCAGTTGGAGAAATATTCACTATAGAACGTTATTATAACGTTAATTTAAGAAAAATTCATGCCAAAAGAAGTTATGTATCACTAGGGGAATAAAATAGAAGTTAACTGATTTTATCCATTATTGGGATTATTGGTTTTAATTGTAAAATAATTATGTATATATCTAAAAAGAAAATTAGAATCAGTTGGAGAATTATTCACTATAGAACGTTATTATAAAGTTAATTTAATAAAAATTTATCCCTGAAGAGGTTAAATATCACTAGGGGAATAAAATAGAGGTTAACTAATTTTATCCATTATTGGGATTATTGGTTTTAATTGTAAAATAATTATGTATATATGTAAAAGGAAAATTAGAATCAATTGGAGAAATATTCACTATAGAACGTTATTATAACGTTAATTTAAGAAAAATTTATGCCTAAAGAGGTTATGTATCACTAGGGGAATAAAATAGAGGTTAACTGATTTTATCCATTAATGAGATTATGGGTTTTAATTGCAAAATAACTATATATATGTAATATATAATATATATATCTGTCTTTAGCTGTTTCTCTGAATTTCGCCTAAGTCCCCAATTCTTATCTAATGTTTATATAAACATTCGTTCTCAAAATTTAGATCTTATAAACTATTTATTCACACCTTATATCCTAGATTGATTTCCGTATATAACCTAACTTATCTTTCCAACATCCATAAACATATTCAATATAAATATTAAAATATACATGACAAGATAATTAATAACCAAAAGGATAAAGTACAGACAAGTCAGAAAATAAATTATAAACGACTCATAAATCGCAGAAAACGACCAAAGACTGTAAACCTGCAGGAAGAGGAGTCTCAAACTCATCTGCCAAATTACCCAACTTAATTAGCTTAATTTCCCAACTTTTCCACGCCGGTCCCGTTCCAGGTAACCCGAGTCCAGAAATTACCTTTCACCGTCAGTTAACCCAACCGATGTACCAAGAACCAGAAGGTATCGAAGTCGCCACTTTCTCGCATGAAAGCTAATAGCGAGTAAGAGAAAAGCTGGCGGACTAGCTCTAAGCATCCGTACGATTTCGCAGGACATCGACAATCTGATGGCGGAGGGCAACAAGTCGAGGACGGTGGCCGCAACGAACATGAA